CTGGCCTAAATAAATGGAGAGATATATCTTGTTCATGGGTCAGAAGACTGAGTATTGTTAAGATGTCAATTCTGTAGACTCAAAGCATTCCCAATCAAGATTTCAGCAGACTTATTTGTAGAAATTGACAAATTGATTCTAAATCTCATCAGAAAATATGAAGTATATAAAATATTTAAAACAACTTTGGAAAAAAACAAAGTTAAAAGACTTATACTACCTGAATTCAAGATTTATCATAAACCTAAGTAATCAAGACAGTTTGGGGTTGGCACAGAGATAAATAAATAGATCAATGGAGCAGAAGAGAGTCCAGATATAGGCCTATACATACACAGACAAGTGATTTTCAAAACAGTGCAAGAAAATTCAGTGGAGAATTCAACAAATGATGCTAGAACAACTGAATACCCATGTGCAAAATATGAACCACAATCCATATCTTACACTATATACAAAAACTAACAATAATTCTAAAGTCTATTCTATGGCTTAACGAGAAAATATATACCTTGAGCAGGATTTCTGCACCACTTACATTACTGATTTAGTTCCCACATTCCAAAAAGGTCAGGAAATTATAAAGTGTTTAATATAAAAATGGCAGATGTATACATTTTATCACAGAAAAAAAGAGTGTTAGGATTTCTTTTTCAGGCATTCAAACAACACATTTGCAACCCATACTCCCACAAACCTGAAAGTCATTACTATTTTTGACAAAGCCTTTGGCAGAGTACCATAATAAATGATCCAATTCTGATATTTCATCTGGAAATACCCACTTGGATTCAAAGTCCTCCAAACCACAGGGACACATGGCAATAATATAGGATTCTGGACTGCTGTTTTTAAAAACAATTTTGGCTGCTTTTGGCTAACTTATTTTACCTCATTTTTATATATCTGAGAAATGTAAGTTAAATAAATGTAGGGAGACTGTTTGAACTTAGAACGCATTTTCCACAAGTTGCAACATATAGTAAGATACAAACTAGCTTACATCTTACTATATGTTGTAACATTTTTCAAACTAAAATATAACTGAAACAATTACCTGTAATGAGAATACTAGAGAAATAGCCCAGTAACAATGAAAAAGAACTCTTCTGAATGATGCTTCAATCTCTCCTAAATGTTAACGTGCAGAGATTGCTACTTGTCCCTCAATATCCCCCCACCTCTTTTACACAGTAATGGAAATCTGGGCAGAGGACACACCTGAAGATCACACTTCAGACTCCCTTACAGCTAGGTGAAGCTGTGTGACTTAGTTCTGGACACTTGGATGTGAGCAAAAGTAACAAGTACAATTTTAGGGTGATGGCCTTAAAGAAAATGCACATGCTCTTTATTTTCTCTTTTAACTCCATCTTGTTACCTGAAAGGTGAACATAACAGTGAAGCGAGAGCAGCCATCTTGGACCAGGGGATAAACACTACTTGTTAAAAATGGCAAAGCAGCATAATTAGAGAAGCCTGGGCCTCCAACATCATAAAGCCATCATATCAACCCAGGACTGCCTATTTGGATTTTTACATCAAAGAAAAAGAAACCTCCATGCTATTTAAGTCGTCAGATTTTCAGCCTAAACTAACCAATATCCCATGGTGGGGGGCAGGGGAGATGAAGGGAAAGGAAATACAAATAGACTTTACTATAATTCAAATAAAGGCCTATAGTCAGTTCGTGTGTGTGTGTGTGTGTGTGTGTGTGTGTGTGTGTGTGTGTGTATCATGTTTAACTTTCCTTCAAACTTCACAGTTTTCTTTCATTAGGACCATTTTTAGAAATATAAAACTACAGTATGTTAGATGACCTGGAATGAATCCAAGAAATTACTTTAAAACTTTATAGATGAGAAAACAGAGGTAGGAATAAGCTAAATGATAAGTCTAGGGTTATTCTTATCAAAAATAATTAGGTCTTTTTTTGTGGCTCATAAATGAAATATTTTTTCTGAAGAAAGAGCAAGTTACGACAGCAAAAAAAGAAGAGGAAGACATTATTAATTAAAATGTATTGTTTGCATGACAAAGTATATACTGCAAAATCAGCATGACTGTGAAGGGCAGAGGGAAAGCAGCAACACAAAGTACATGAATAATCTCCTGAGTGAGTGATAATACTTATAGTGAAGAGACAATGAGTTCTAAACACTTGCACTAGAGTATGCTTCCATCCAGAACAATCTACTGCCAACTGAAGAGCACTGGTGATGGGGCAGGAGGGGTCCCAGAGGCTTGTACTGTACAGAGAAAAAGAGTTAGTGTCCACCTGGTCATTCAACATGTATTCCAATGGGAATTAAGTTAAAATAAAAACATCTATTTATCTATAAAGAAAAGCCAATCAGAGTATAAATGAAATTTGGGGCGTTAGGAGCTCAAAAGCAATCTTATGAAAATCATGGAGCCACTCTTTCCAAAAAATGTATATAAATATCAACATAAACATTATACATTTTAAACATTCCATTGCTTTGGAAATTAGTAATTCTTTCACTGTGATAAAACAAAAAATAAGATTTCCAAAAAATTGAGTCTTTTGGAATACAAAAATTAGTGGTTACTTCCTTTTAAAACAATAGGAAAAAAAAGAAAATCTGATAAAAATGGAAATATCAAATAAGTCTCATATGACCTGAATATTCAAAATGTTCAAATTATGCAGTGATCTCCAACACAGCATTACACACATAAAACTTCTTGAATTGATGGTAACAAATGCCTAAAAACCTTGACTCTCAGAGGCACAAATCTGGTAGCAAATGTACTTAGAACTCATGGAATATACTTTGCCATTGAAGAGCAACCTTATGTCAACAAACAACAGAATTCACTACAACTTTTGGAGTTGAATCTATGTTCATTCTTTTCTTTTCTTCTAGGTATAGAAGGTCATTTTTGGCAACAATCAGATGTCTGTGTCATCAAGAAAAGGATTACACACTCCTTTTAAACTTTTAGGTCATCCAAAGCACAATTAGCCTTAAAAAGTATTCTGCCATCTCTCCAATTGTCTACATATTTTTGCCAGCAGATGAATTAACAAGATATTGTCACTCTGAAATTCAACTTGCAGAAGCACATCCTGAACCACTGGAAAAGTCCCACAGTAGTTTGGCCAAATGAAGTTGTGATTTTCATCTGCATCCATAAGTCTGATTGCAGCACGTCAAACTGAAAGTTTTACCTCATTCAAATATCCCAAAATATCACTCAAGTAAGCAAGTCATGAAAAAACTCCTCCATGTCAAACTGTTCTGAGAGTAGCCTTTCTCAAAAGCAAATTAATAAATGAATAAATAAGGAGGCAGCAATCTAAACTGCAGTGTAGTGATTTAGGACATATCCTTTAGGGAACTAACACACTTCTGCATTACTGGGAATCTCTTATTCTGTTTCCATTTCTTGAGAAAACCTCTTGAAAAGGCAGTGGTTCAAGGCTTTGACTCTGACAGAGGTGATTAATTTCAGGGTGGTAAGCAAGATATCTTTCAGGATTATTGTCACAGGTTTTGATGCTGACACATGCCAAGCCAATTATAAAAGACGTAAGTCATGATGACTTAAAAGTTCTCTCTTCATAAAACCACCAAATCAGATGTATTGCCAAGCGTAGCAAGTACTCCATCCACGCCCAATGTACCAAATCCCCCTTTTCACCATATCAAAGATACCAAAAGCCTTTCAGGTTTCCAAAAGGAACCCTACAAACTTGGAATTTGTTATGTATCAGTGTACACAAAACAGATAAAAACCAGAAACTGGCTGCATGAAATAATGTTGGCTGTTATATAGGAATGCTTGTTGAATGGGAAATGGCATCATTCCCAATCCGACAACGTTTTAAAATATCAGAAGAAACGGCAGTTCTGTAGAATTTAACATCATCTGATTGTGCTTGGGCCATTAATAACAAAATTTCAGCAGCCAGTTCAACCTTACTTAACCTATTTTAAATTATCCTTTTAAGGACCTCAGCTTATTGAAACTTACATAAATTGGCTGCTAAGTAGAAAAAGTAAGTATCTTCTAAACAGAAATAATTATTGAAACCAGTCTCTCTGTATTATTCTCTATAGGATAACCTCTAGTCGAAAAGAATGATTCCATCTGTTGCTTCAAATGTTCCTCTAATTGGTGAAATCTCTTTAATCATTCTGAATTAAAGAGTTTTTTAATATAATTTTTTAAATTCAATTTAGTTCCAGCACAAATTGTCAATAACTATCTCTACACTTAATGTAGTAAAGATTTCCCTTCCTTTCTTCTACTATAGATCTCATATCTGATTGATAAACCACTGGCAAAAAGCAAATAATTCAATCTCTAATTATCCCATAAACTTGGGTAAACTATACAAACAGTAAGTATGATACTTTAATAAATAAACCACCCACCTTGACCTGAATTGGTGTAGGACAAGTGGCAGATATCCTTGTCTGTAAAGCATGCAAGCTTTGGAAAGCTTGGGTTGAAAGTTATTTCTTCCTATTTTAATATTTCTAGGCTTGATAATATAAATAAAATATCGTAATTCCTAATTGCATGTCTTACTACACTTAACTGTATCATTTTGTAATTTCAAATACATTCTAATAAAGTAGAAAATAAGTCATAATTATTAAATATTCAAAGGTAAATGTATTACTTTCTTTGTTAAAGTCAGTATTTCCCCCATCTTATTCAATAAACCCTGTCTCAATGGTCTAACTCCACTTTTCAGAACTGCTCATTCACGTAATTATCTCTATAATACTTACTTTTAAAACATTAAAAACTAAATATATTTTCCAATTATAGTTTTTCACAATTCATTAATGTAAAGCATTTAATGACTGTAACTTTGAAGCATTTTCCAACTTGGAAACCAAGTACTTTTCAAACTTTTATTTCTGAGGTATTGTGGGAATAATATGCTAGTTACTTAAATAATTCCTCAGTAAGTGCTCTGACATTTTACTACTTACAATATTATGGAAAGTTTTACTTACTGAAACATCTTTCAGGTTTTTCTCAAAGGAGAAATGACAGGACTCTTTAGAAAAATTAAACTTGTATGCGTCGGTTGGTCCTGCTCCTGACACCAATGCTTTTCTCAGTTCATCAACATATTTCTCTTTTTCCATTGCCATGTCATCAGCTTCTTGGGAAATCTCTGATTCACAAACTATGGGAAACATCAATGAAAAGTTTTGAAATAAAAAATAAATTTCTAAACATGAGAATATTGGTTTACCTGCTGCTACTAATTTATCACTTATATAACAGAATTTTAAACAAAAAGTAAAATCAATACCCACACCATACATTTTTAAATGCAATTATACCTTTTAACTGAACTAGCAATTTTTGAGAAATGCATTAATTTAGTCTCAAGTCTCACCTGAAAAACATTAGACTCCTTGCATTCTTTCTCTGTCCTCAGATAAAATACACTCATTGTAAATTACCACAGAAACTACCATCTTGTGTACCTGCTCCTAGGTCATAGCCAGATGAATTATTTCCTATAATGAATAATAAGCTCAGTATTTTACAACATCTTTCTTCCTTGCCTCAATTATTAAAGAGATTAAAGAGTCTATAGTCTATTTCTCACTCACATGGGCAGAGTCAAATTAAAGTAAAAATGGAGTTCATTCTTCTCATCTCATTATGTGCTGACAATAAGAAAGGTAGATTAAGGGAGGTGATGAGGGAGAAAAGGAAGGAAATTAATATTTATTGAGTCTCCTCTATGGCATACATTATACTACAGATCTAGCTTCCAATTCTCTCATCTAGGTATATTTAAAGCTGACGTTTTACTCATTATTCAGATTTTTACTTCAATAATTATATTTTCAATTCTAGATATTCTCTTCGTTTCTTTTTCATATTATCCTGTTCTTGCCACACCCATCTTTTAAATATTTGAAAGCTTTAAACACGTTTAAAATCTCTTTCAGGTTGGACTTTATGCGTGGTTCCTGGGGTATTAATTCTATTTCTTCTAGCTGCTGACACATTCTCATCTGCCTTTTTTTCCTTTCATGCTTTGCAATGTTTGAACATGGCTCTCCTCTAGCCAGAGTATCAAGAGCTCTGGGCAGCAGAGGTAGTCTTAAATGAAGGTTACTGGTTTGCCTTTCTTGGAGTCTCAACAGGTTTCACCAGTTCTGGACCAATTCCGAAAGTTCATTTCTTAACTTAGTTTTTACACTTGAGGAAGAGCTCAAATTTAAACCTCCCACCCCTCACCCATATATAACACAGACCAAGGGTTCTGATTTTTGTTAAGACTTTTATTCACTCATAGCTCTTAGTGACTAGTCTGATTCTATGCTGCATCTCCAAACCAGACAGTAGTGTTTTGTTTTTGTTTTTTTTAAGAAGATTTCATTAACCGATTAACTTCCAAGTTCCTTTCTTTATACTGAGAGCTCAGCTCCAATTCCTTACGAGGCCTGCAGTCTCAACACTCCACCCCACTGAGGTATTATAATCACAGGCATTTAGACACATATCTAGTTCAGATATTCCATGAATCTATAGTTAAGCTTTAGTTCTCATGAACCACTTTGGTTTTCAGACACCTCTTCATACAAGGCACCTGGGATTTCCCTTTCTTACATTCAAACGCTGCAATGTGTCCGCTTGCTTTTAAAATTACAAGATTTAAGTCTAACAATTTTTTGAAATGTGTATGTGGTTGGGTGGTTTCCTGCATCAACTCAGGCTACTGCAATGATGAAAGATCCATATGGTTCTATACTTTTCTACGTAAAGGTTACATTTATCTATTTTATCTGTTATAACACTGACAGATATTTTCATTTTACAAATGATCCAATTGAAACTCAGATCAAGTAACAGTCTAGTGTCATAGAGTAGGTAAGTGGTAAAGCTGGGATTCATACTTATGTCTCTCTAGTTGTTTGGTTTTGAGGTGGGGTAGAGATCTGGGACACTGGATAAATTATTTCCTTCCATGATATTAAAAAACACATTAGTATGAAATATTACAAAAAACAATGAAATCTTGATTTTAAAAAATCCATAAAATATAACACAGCTTTTCATAACTTTGGTCTGTGTGCTATGAAATGTCTGGAAACTCCACGACAGGCAAGAGAAAGAGAGTCTTGGAATGTATCCATATATTTTTTCATGATCAATTTTTGATAATAAGTTCTGATATTTAAACATAAGCCTCAACATAGCCTTTGAGAAAAGGTAAGAATAAAAATATCTTATATTCCTATGTGATTTTACAGCTTCTAAAATACTTGCATATATTTTTTCTCTCTGAGGCAGATGCATACTATTTAAGATGATCACCACTATCAACTCTATTGACTGTTCAAATACCCTATTAGTTCTGAAAAAACATAAAAATAAGAAGATAAATGTTTCTTATTTAAGGAATTGTTTCATATTTTGTGTTGGGATAATTTTGAAGAGCTATAAATACCTAGGAAGGGAAATTATTCACAGAGAAATAGGAAATAAATCTGTAGAACAGTCATAGAAAAACGTAAGAACACATAAAAGAAAAATAAAGTATGCCTATTGGTAAAACATCTAGTAAAAAGTATTCTAAATTACATTAAAATGAAAAGATACCTATCTGAAAATACTTAACAGTGTATTGATTCAATTCATTTATTCAAAAATACTTAATAAGCATCTACTATGTGCCAGGCACTATTCTAGGCTACAACAGTTAAACTGACAGACAAAAATGGCAGCTTTATGGAGCCTAAAATCAAAGGCTGGTGTCTTAGATATCCTTGTAGGTATCCTCTTAGATATCCTCTTAGATATCCTCTGATGTTACTCCATCTGTGAATGCTGTGCTGATTATTGTTATGGAATATTTCATTTTTGAGAGGAAAAAAACCTATGAGAGGAAATTATTTTTCTACTTACTCTTTAAGAAAAAAATTTATTTGAACATTTCCTATAACAGAAATGCAAAATCTTGACTGCCTGTTTAGAACTTCAATCCTGAAACAAAAAACTTGGGCACCAGTTTTGAATTCTGTGCTAAGAACATCTGGAAGAGGCACAGCTGTAAGCATTCAATGCTCCAAAAACATCAATGACCAGAAATAAATGCCATGGAAATAATAAAATTCAGCAAGGATACAGCTGAACCGCGTAATATGGCATAAAAAGAGAGCAGATCAACATGACCAAACAACAAGGAATTGTTCTCAGACCGGTAGGAGCCAAGAAAGCATCACTTGAACACTATTTGTGGGTAGGTGAAGATGTAAGTAAAGAAAGAAGATTCTGTCCTTTGGATCCCTATGTATAATGAACCAAAAGACTGCATATCCTAAGTTTCTGTCAGAGCTTAGAAGATACACAGCCTCATCATCCCATTAGGGATTTTGATGGTATCACATCATGGACCTACTTTACTACTTTATTCATTAAAAATCCTTTTTCCACTGAGCTCTGTTATATAATCTCCATATAGGCCACTAAATATCAATGTTTAGGACAAATATAAGTGTATATAATTATTTGACAATAAACGTATTAATAAAATTTAATTTACTCTTCAACGAACTTTAAACTACTCCAGAGATGGGTGATAGAAGTTTCTTACTGCTGACTGCAATTTTTACGAAAGTCACATAATAGTCATCGATCATTAACCCACTTTGTGACTTAACCCTGTGATATAACCCTCTATAATGTTGAAGTGATGATAGACCACATGATAATTAGACCCCAAAACATTCATTAGATAAAACATTGCTAATGGAAAAGAAATCAGTGAGTTCAGTGTGTGGGAGATTAAAAGGAACCCCACATCCTTTTAATTTCACTCAAATGAAAAGAGAAAAAAAATTATCCAAATTGAAGGTTGAAGCAATCAAAAAGTTGTACAAAAAACAGGATGAGGTATAGGAAGGAAATCCATTTTCATGTTTCAACTATTTAATTGTTTCAATGTTCTTAATCATGTTATTGTCTATCTGTAAAGTGCCAAACCAAATTATATTTATATAATAAACCTTAACTGAACATGGAAACAATGTTATATTATTTTGTTTCATATTTTGTCCCCAAAATTTACACAAGAAAATAGAAATGAATAATGAGAGGTATAAAACATTTGTCGGGTTTAAAAGTTCATTTGATATCTTTGAACATAAAACAACCATACACAGTGCACTGTAAAATTTTCTGTTGGAAAGCTTGTTCAGTACAGGAAGCCAAATGTTAATAACCCAGCAAAGGATGCAGAAGTTTGATATCACTTTTTTGCCACACTAAATTTCATTAGCTGAAAAACAAATGGTAAAACATACTGCATTTATGAACAATGCCAACAATAAATAAACATGAAACTGGAGTTTTCATTAAAAAATATGAACTCTAAAATGAATAGTACATTTTCTTTTTTTCCTAACCAGTTTTATACATCTGACACATCCTTTCACTTTTTGTTTCAAAGAATATCCATTGAGCATATAAGTCCCAGGTACTGGTCTAGATACTTATACAAAGTGGCTGACATTTCAGATGTATTCCTTGCTCTCAATGGATCTAGTCTAGTGAAACAATATTCATATTAATATTAAAAACAACTGCCAGCACATTTTGAATAATACAAATAAAATGTTCCATAAGTGTAAATAAAGTTAACTTAAATTTCTGGTTAAATTAAGATTTAAGGGTTAATCAGAGTACTCTTTTTTTCCCAATCCTTAATGACAAAAAAAATTCAAACAACATATTATTGTTGTTCTTTGCTTTGGAGAACGAGGTTTACTGACTAGATTAGAATTTACTCTTTTCTTTGGTAATTAAGGCTCTCAAAGCATCTCAAGGTCATCTCTCTGACCATAAGTTCTCATTATACTTAGAATAAGCCATTTGTCAACTGGAAATATCTAAGATATAAATACAGTATTCCTTACACACAAGCAACCACTTCACCTAGGACCTGCCTCCTGGGCTGTGCTAATGGAACTGCTCTTCTCTCCCAGACAACCAGCATTAACTTTCTGCCATGGTCTTCAGCCCTAGGTACCCTCCTTCACCCCAAAACAGAGCTATTGTCACCTCGGTACACCTTCACCAGCATACATAGAGCTAACGTGACAAATTTTCACCCACTCCTGCACTCCAATAACCAACCAACAACTGATTTCTCTTACATAAAAATTTACAACTTAAATAGATACCATAATAGGTAACGCAAACATCACCCTTGAAATTTCTTTATTTTACCATAAGACTTATGTTAACATTCCTTGCTCTCTGTTACAAAAGACAAATAAAAATTTAAAAACCTGCAAGCATAAATTCAGTTTGACTGTGCTGTGTAACAGAATTTGTAACATTCAAGAAAGAAATGAAACTTCACATGTATTATAATTTTAAAAGGTAATATAATTATAGTAACAAATTTTAGGGCAACATTTCAAAAGTTGACAGAAGATACAAATAGTACATAAATTAACATGACAAAATTATTTTACTTAAAATACCATTCACAACACAACTCCAGAAATGACTGTTGCATAACTGTCGAAATAGCTTTTTAAATCTTTCAACAAAATACTTTAGAAGAGTGTTAAAACTTTGCTATAGGAGTAAAACATAATTCTAGATATTTTGACTTTATACCTGCCATGTTCCATAAGTGATATCAGGGCCATTAGCCTTTTTAAAGATTTTATTTATTTATTTTTCCCCCCAAAGCCCCAGCAGATAGTTGTATGTCATAGCTGCACAACCTTCTAGTTGCTGTATGTGGGACGCGGCCTCAGCATGGCCGGAGAAGCGGTGCGTCAGTGCGCGCCCGGGATCCGAACCCGGGCCGCCAGCAGCGGAGCGCGCGCACTTAACCGCTAAGCCACGGGGCCGACCCCATTAGCCTTTTTAAAAGATTATTGCCAAAGATAAAAAAATCAAAAGTCTATGTCATAAAATAGTCAAAATCCCACATACGGGTTTGAACCTTGGTTTACAAAGTTTTAGGCTATGATTTCTGTTTTGTTCTGTCACAAATGTAGCACATGTTTATTGGAAAACAATTCAAACAATATAAGTATATGAAATAAAAAAAAACCACCACCACCCCACTCCCCCAAGCCAACACAAACCCTTAGCCCAGCCAACCCACCTTCCCATGCCTCCTAATATTTCCCTGGAGTCCTGAGAAAAAATATATGTAAAAAGTACTATTTATGTTTTGTATAAAGAGATCATTTAAAAACTCTGACCAACTCCAAGTACTAAGACTCAAATGGTAACCAGAATTTGCTGGGGCATATGCTTATTTCTCTATCCTTCTATTAATATCAATTATAGAAAACAGCATTAAATGTTACAAATCTGTGTGTAAATTAGACAGCTATAACAAGTAAAAGCAATCATATTAATTTTACCCAATATCTATTAAAGAAACACTTTAATTTGAAGTATTATTGAGGACTGAAGAAAAGCACATTATTGAAATTTTACTTTTAAAAAATTTGCTTTTAATATTACCTGTCCCAGTCCATGCTGACTGACCATCAGTAAGTGTAACAACGAAACCAGATCCTAGTGTTTTCTCCCAAGCAATTTGTAGAAAATGAATCATGTCAGGTTCAGAAGCAAGACAGATTCTGCTTACTTTTCTCTCCATTTCTGGTCACCTGTTATAGAACAAAAAAATCAATATTTTTGCAAGAAACTGTGACTATCCAATAGTGATATCTTCTGTGTTGGTCTCTCAGCTATACAAAGCACCAAGGAAATAAAAAAAAAAAAAAAAGGCAAAAAAGCATATAATAGCCAACCACCAAACTTAGTAAATCACAGTTCTCTTCAATATTGATTCACAATTTTTACCGATAAGAAAAGCAGAGGCCCATAAATGGCAAATGATTTGCCCAAGTTGTGTAGCTGAATAAAAATTACTATTTCCAACAATATGAAAAGTAAATCTTCCCCAAGAGTCAACAGGCTCTTTGTCTACAACAAAAGAAATGGTCACAAGAACTTGTGTGAGTAACCTGAGAGTAATCTCAGGACTGGAGTGTGATTCTGATTAGTGAGGGTAAATTTGATCAGGAGTCTTAGTCTCCAACTAGAGAAAGACTATGAAATGAGAAAGCAGAGTAAGTGCAAAGATTAGGAAAAGAACATCTCAGAACCCAAGAGCCGGCAGTCATGCCTTCTCTAAGAAAGGGGTTCCCAGGCTCAGTGACCTACTGTGTCCACTGAGGCAAGAGCACCCTGTAGTAAAGATGGGTTATATTGAGCTTTCACAGCCAGAGGCCAATAAACTTTTTTTACATTTTTAAAATTTTGTATTGAAGTATTATATACAGAGAAAAGTACATACATCTAAAATACAACTTGATGAGTTTTACAACTGAACAAATCCCTGTAAGCAGCACCTAGATCAAGAAGAACATTACCACCCCAGAACTCAGTTGCACAATACCTTCCTTCCAGTCACTATGTCCCCAAAATAACCACTCTCCTCACTTCTAACACAGATTAGAGTTTTGAGTATTTTTGAACTTTTATGTAAATATAATCATATGGCATGCTTTATTTTCTGGCTTCTTTTGCCCAACATTTTGTTTGAGAAATTCATCCATATTGTTTTGTAGAGTTATAGATCGTGTTCATGGTTGTATAGTATTCCATTATATGGATATAGTACAATTCATTTATCCATTCTACTAGTGATAGGCATTAGAGAACTTTCCAGGTTTTGACTATCACAAAAAGTGCTGCCATAAACATTCTAGCAAATATCTAGGCTTTTCTGTTGGGTATATACCTATGAGTGGAACTGCTGGGTCAGAAGATATGCACATGTTCAGTTTTAGTACTATACAGCCAAAAGTTTTCTAAAAACTTTGTACCAATTTACACTTGGTATATGAATGTTCTGATTATTTCACACACTTGCAAACATTTCTCATGGTTTCAATTTTAGCCATTTTGGTGGGTATTTAGTACTACATTGTGGTTTTAATTCACATTTCCCTGATGAGTAATGATGTTGAGTCCTTTTCGTATCTTTATTTGGGCATTTGAATATCCTGTTTTGTGGATTGTCTGTTCAATTTTGCCAATGTTTTCCTTCAGTTGTTTTTTTTAATTGATTTTTTGTTTCTTTTCTTTTTGATTTGTTCTTTATATTTTAGATACGAATCCTTTTATAGATATACGTACCATGAATACCTTCTTTCACTCTGTAAGCTACCTTTTTTCTCTCATAATGGTATCTTTGGATGAAAACAAGTACTTAATTTTATTTTTATTTTTTTTTTTTTGTGAGGAGATCAGCCCTGTGCTAACATCCGCCAATCCTCCTCTTTTTTTGCTGAGGAAGACGGCCCTGGGCTAACATCTGTGCCCATCTTCCTCCACTTTATATGGGACGCCGCCACAGCATGGCTTGCCAAGCAGTGCGTCGGTGTGCGCCCGGGATCCGAACCAGCGAACCCCGGGCCGCCGCAGCTAAGCGCGCGCACTTAACCGCTTGCGCCACCGGGCCGGCCCCTGGATGAAAACAAGTACTTAATTTTAATGAAGTGTAAATGTATCAAAATTTTTATGTAATGATTATACTTTTTTGTGTCCTGCTTAAGAACTCTTTGGTCACTAAAATGTTCTCCTATGTTTATCTAAAAGCTATACTTGTATCTCTCACATTTAGAGCTGCAATCCATCTGGAATTGATTTTTGTGCATTGTGTCAGGTAGGGGTCAAGATGTATTTTTTCCACATGGATATCTAATTGACCCAGTACTATTTACTAAAGACCATCCTTTCCTGACTGCACTGCTGTACCTTCATCATAAATCATGTGACCAAATACATATCCAAGGTTCAATTTTGTTTTTATTTTTTTTTTGGCATGGGTGCAATTTCATATTTTATATTTGGCTTATCAAAGTTACATTGAATAGTGATTCTGTTACTGTGACCCAATACATTTATAATCTCTCCCTGACCCTGCCATTTAAAAATTTGATAAACCTCTCTTCTAAGTATTAACATCATTTATGTAAAATGTTGAGCAGGACAAGCTCACACATAGACTCCTGTGGATTGCCACTAGAAACGAGCCTCTTGTAGACATTTCTCAACACTCCTAGGTGGGTACACTGCTAGTAGCTCCATTTAAATCACGGACATCAGGAGAGTCCCCTGCAAAAACTACCTACTCTACTACCAGTCTAGCAATGCGATTAAAAAAAAAGGGAAATAAATTAAGACTGTTTCTTACTGATCCCACTGTCATTTCTAACGATTAAAGGTTCTTTCTCTATGAATTCAAAAACCATTCTTCTGGCAACTCACTCCAGAATCTTGCCCAGATTGACCTCAAACTTACCAGACTGCGGTATGACATATATTATTTAGTTCAAAGCAAATAAATATATTTTTTCTAATACTGGAATATCCTTTGACCATGCGTACTTCATTAAGAGATACTTAAGCTGTAGATGCTAACAAACAAAACTAAATACCCTAAAAATTATAAATATGCAAAGAAAAAACATTATAAAAGCCGAAACCAGAAACAAAGCAAAAACTTCAAAGATAAAAAACTAGAGAGAATTATTCTTTAATCACATAGCATGAATCTCTTACTAGATGATCCTTAAAAAGCTAAAAGAATATTCTTTAATCTTTTATTTGGGGGGAAGAGTGTAAAATTGCTTCAAATTTTTATGACCAATATATACAATATGCTATAAAACCCAAAAGTAAATTATTAATTGACATTTCATTGACAACTGATTAATAAGTTTTATTTTATTTTTTAAAGGATTATGTTTCTTTTTTTGGGGAGGGGGGGAGATTGGCCCTGAGCTAACATCTGTTGCCAATCTTCCTTTTTTCCTTTTTTCTCCCCAAAGCCCCCGTACATAGTTGTATATCCTAGTTGTAGGTCCTTCTAGTTCTTCTATGTGGGATGCCGCCTCAGCATGTTTTAATGAGCAGTGAGTTGGTCTGTGCCCAGGATCCGCACCAGCCAACCCAAAGCGGAACGCGCGAACTTAACTGCTGCGCCACTGGGCTGACCCCAGTGAATTTTGTGGGTTTTTTTTGTGAGGAAGATCAGCCCTGAGCTACCATCCATGTTAATCCTCCTCTTTTTGCTAAGGAAGACCAGCTCTGAGCTAACATCTATTGCCAATCCTCCTCCTTTTTTTTTTTTTCCCCAAAGCCCCAGCAGATAGCTGTATGTCATAGTTGCACATCCCTCTAGTTGCTGTATGTGGGACGCGGCCTCAGCATGGCCGGAGAAGCGGTGCGTCGGTGCGCGACCAGGATCCGAACCCGGGCCGCCAGTAGTGGAGCCTGAGCACCCAACCGCCAAGCCACGGGGCCGGCCCCCCAGTAAGTTTTAATAAGAGCAAATTTTTAAATCAGGAGTTTTAATTTGCTTTCTCAATTTAAAACTATTATATTCTCATAAATAAAGCATCATATTTTTCCTCAAATAACAATTGAATATGAAAATAAAAACTCACTTTGTCAGCTCTTCACAAAACAAGGCTAACTTACTAGAGATCTCTATCTTGTAGGGTGGGAAGGATGCCTAATTACAGAATAACAGAGCTGCACTATCTTACAGTAAAAAGCATAAGGAAGCAGAGAAACTTCCAGAATGAAAGAAAAAATATCTAAAATTAAGAGTGTAAGTTACCTGCAAATTGATAAATTAGCAATAACTCTAATTTCTACCTAAAGTTTACTCAGAACCTATTTTTCTTTCCAGTAAAAGACAAAGTGATAAAATAACCGTACTTGTAACCACACCAATTAAACATGTTAACATTTTAAAAATACATAAATTTCTAGGTTTGACTATAACATAATCACTGAAAAAAATATAATTATTTTTAAATATTTCATGTAGTCAAAAGTTTTTCCTACATCAAAGTCTTCTTTGCCTAAATGTGCTTAATTCTGAAATACTCCATCCATTTGTGAATATTTTCTTTTAGATCAATTAGTCAATACACTTAACATACAGCCAATTACTCACATGCTCTGTAATCCTTAAATTTGAAATTACTGGAAATGGGTGTTACTGTTTTTCTATGCCAATCATTGAAAGAGACACACAGTTAAAGGCCTGCATAATTCTAATGTGCCCAAACCTCACAATTTTGGGGGGAGGAGGGTAATAGAAACTACCTATGAAGGCCATTTTTTACCTCGTTGGGATTTATATACAAACACACAGATGCACACACACCTACAGATTATTTCTTCTTAAATATGCCCCAAGAACCACGGCTATCATTAGTAATTCATGTAACTTTGTGAAAGGAAAATGCAGCACTTATACTCTAAAACAGCAATTGGTTTCACTGCTACTTTTTACCATATTTGAGACAAATGACAAATTTCTAATTATAGAGAAAAATTAGTTTAAAACTTAATACTTCAGATGCCTGTCAGTGACTCATCCTAGTTTCACATAAGACAGAGGGCTTTAATCTCAATAATGTTAAAAAAGACATTTAGCAATCAGATTAGTTTTAACAACATATTTGAGTTATTCATATTTCAAATATTTTCCAAATTTCTAATTAACTCTAGGAACTCATCACATTTTAAAGATTCTATTATATTAGTAAACTCAAAATTGAGATTTTGGGTGCTACAAGTG